ACATGTTGTGGCAAAGAGTTAACACCGCAGAAGTTTATATCATGCCAGCATATGCTTACGAAACCTCCCCCCGAACATCCGGGCTGGCGTTCCCTAACCAATGTTCAGACATATGGCTTAGTTGTTTGAGGGCGTTCGCCCCTCCAGCGTTAACATCATACATGTGCCAAGGTTGTTTTAAGCAACTTCCAGGAAGCTGGGCCATATCCCTTAAATGATAACTTGTGTTGACCACGTCTGCGACTGTGTTTCTTGAGCGTAGCAAAGGTCCAGTCCAATCGATCGTAGCCTTGTCACTCCATCACGTTGCAGAGCATTCGCCGAGCATGACCTGTCACCGTATAGCATTCACTTCGTCTATAAGATATGTTGTCGGTGCATGACCCTAACATCCCCATCCCATTACTCTCGCATCATCATATCACAGCCGTAGTGTTACCGTCGCACTATGATAACACTGCCTATTATGCAACATGTGCGAGGAGCTGGGCTCTCACGTCGAGGAGAACCGACCAACCAGGATGGCCCATAAGAGGGCCCATACTATGTTCTTGTCAGTAAGAGCGAGGGGGCGACGGGGTCGTCAGCTGCTTGCGAGGCTCTGCAGATGCCCGCATGAGGTGCTGCTTCTTCCCCCACCATCCTGCAGTGTTGGGTTCTCGTTGTGTAGGGAGCGCGCCACGCCCTCCTCCCTCCCCCCCTCTTCCCTCCTCCCTATCCCTGCCTCGGCGCTCAGCGTGGCCATGCCGGCACACCCCTCACACGCTTCGGGGCCCCATGGGGGGCTCCGCCAAAGCTCCCCCACGGGGTGGCGCCACCCCCCAGGGGGCTGGTGCGGCATAGCGCCCCTCAGCCTGTTTCACGCTTCGTGTCCACAAAGGGAACTCCACCTGAGGCCTCAGCGTCTGCGTCAACATGCGGCTCCCCAGCCATGTCTGGCACACGGCTCGCACGTTTCTTGCCCCCCTCGCGAGCTCCCCGTGTGCGCCCGCGTGCAGCTCCCCGCCCATTGCGGTGCACGCCTCGCAGAGCTCGTGGCCCCACGGGGTTCTCCACCTGTGGCCCATGCGTGTGTATGCGTCCACATGCGGTTCCCCGCTCCTTTCGGCAGACGTCACACACGCTTGGTGGCCCAACGGGGAGATCTCCCTCCTTCGCTACACTACCTGCCTTGCTGCACTCACGCTTGCATGTGGTTGGGTCTTCTGCGAGGGTGATTCTTACACGATGCCCATGAAACCCACCAAAGGCGGCAAGCAGAGCGGGTGGGTCGAGGTTGGGTCGCGGGTGTCCGCCGGAGGGTCGCGGGAGGGTCGCGGGTGGGTCGCGGGAGGGTCGCGGGTGGTTCGCGGGCGGGTCGCGGGTGTGTCGCGTGTGGGTCGCGAAGGGGTCGCGGGCGTGTCGTGGGCGTGGACGGCGACAGCAATAAACAAAGAACAGCGATCTTGACCGCGGATGCCCACTTTAGGCACGCACCCAGGGATGGTGTGGGACTGGTCGGCCCCCTCGCCCTGACGAATAATTATTCAGCTTCGTGTATTTCCATCAGCCCATCCATATACGATGGTCAGGAGGGTTGACTGTGTCAGGGATGTGTGTGCACAAGCAGTGGAATAAAGAGGGTGTGGGGGGGGCGGGGGCAGCCGTCAAAACGTAGCTCGGGATCAGCCTGAGCAGACCCATGGGTCAGTCATACATGCCCTCTTCGATCCTTCGATGGTGTGGGATCCTCTTGGCAGCTGTCTTGGGGAAGATCGGGGCCCTCTTGGGGCAATTCTGGCAGGGACCCTGGTGGTCTCTTGGGCCCCTCTTTGGGGCAAGGCGGACCCTCTTGACGCCATCTAGGGGTACATTGATCAAAGAGGGAGGGGCCGCTTATCCTCCTTGAGCCCGAACAGTCGCGTCTTCTGGATCTCATGTGGCGCTCTGGGTGCGCTCCTGGGCGCTCTCGGGGCCGTCCTGGGCGCTCACGTCACGGCCCTGGGCGCCCCTCGGAGGCGACCGCGCGAGAGTGCAGGACGCACTGCGTGTCCTTGTGCTCCGGAAGGAGTTGGGCCTGTCGGTAGCCTCCTTGGGATGCTCCGTGGCCGCTTTTAGTTGCCGTGTTGGAGAAACCGTTGGGCATATTGGAGGTAATATTTTACATCTTTAAGTCATGTTGTGCCGTTTTAGGGACATCTTGATTCGTCTGGGTCGTCTTAGGCCAAACGATTCCCAATAGTGGCCCAGAGAATCTAGACCCATCCACCAACATTGTGTGTTCAACATGTTTGTGTCTTTCCAACATGGGAGGGGGGGGCTCACCAGCCTTACCCCTCTGAAGCCTGAACGCTCGCCCCTTGGGGCCCTCTTAGGGCGCTCTTGGAGCTCTTTCTTGGGGCACCCTTGAGCCATCACTTGAGACCTCAGACGCCCATCGGACGCGAAAGCTTTCGTCACTTTGTGGAAGGAGGTTGCCTCTTGGGGGCTGCCGTGGTAGGCTCCTTGGTCGCTTGAGGCCGTCTTGGAGCAAGATGGGCCCGCTTGGAGCATGCTGGCCCACCATAGCATTCTCTATAGCGTGTCAGCTTGGGCTATCCTAGGCAATCATGGGCGCTCCAACGCCTCGCGGGGTGCCGCGCCCAGACCCACGGGGAAAAGGGGTAGGGGGAGGGGGACGACGGAAGTCGGTAGAGGAAACTCGCTAGACCACCTCAGCCCAGAGGGCTGGTGGGTTTGTGCTGGCAAGATCTTGTTCTGGGAAGAGGCGTCCCAGGTCCTGCGCCGACCACCGAACGACTTGGATAAGCCGCCACGTGTCCCCTGATCCCTATAATTCTTTTTCCTTCTAGAAGAAGTCCCTAGCCCACCAGGGCCCCATCGAATTCTTAGTACAGTGCACGCAGACAGTTTAAACACATCCCAAACACACTGACCCACTGCTCCTCTTGCTCCTCCTGCACCACCTTCGACTCACCCCTGCCCTTCAGATCTTCTTGGGCCCGCCCGTCGCTGGACCCCCTCCCCCAAGATGCTCCTCCTCCTACTCCTCCTTTGAGGTGGCGGTGGGCGCTGTTGCCCTCTCTCGGGTAGGGACCACGCACCATCTCATTTCGGGTAGGGACCGCGGGTGGTGCGAGGAGCGCGCGGGACAGTGGCCGAGCTAGTTGGATGCGCGCAAGCGGGTCATCGACGGAGGCGCCTGAGCAGCGCTAGCTTCCGCTGTGCGGGTCGGCTCGGCCAGGATCGGGGAGGCTGAAGGAGTGCGCCACCACCAGGCCTCCATACGTGGTGGCTGGCTGCTGGACATCGAATCATGGATGTCGTGGGCGGCGTTATGGACGAACGCGCCGATGCCGGCCCGACCCGAGTCCCCGCAGGGACCCCCAAACCCTCGTGTTCCCAATGATCGCCCGTGCGAGCAACGCCGACGTCGAGAACTTATGCCCGCGCTCACAGCCACATCCCATATCTACCATCTTGGATCTTGGGTAGGGCTCTGATGTGTATGACACGGGCACCCCCCAGGGAGGCGCCACCGCCGGTGGCGCGGATGCGCTGGATCCGCCCCCCCCCCGCGCGGGCGTAGGGCCACGGGCTGGATGCTGGCGGGGTGTCCAGGGAGCTGCTCTTGCAGGCGCCGCGCGAGGGCCTGGATGCTTCGGGCTGGGGGGCGGCTCGTGCGCTCGCGCCGGCGCTGCGGATCGCCACTCGCGGGCTGGGCATCCGCGAGGAGCGGGCCCAGCTCTTGAAGGCCGCCACGGCCATCCCCGACGCAGAGGGTCGCCAGCGGGACATCGAGCGGGTGCTGGCGGCGGCCGAGCGTTCGCGGCGCGGGCGCCGCCCGCCGCGGGGGCTGGCGGGTGGGGCCTGAGGCCCAGCTGGGCTCGGCTCAGGTCGAGCTTCGGGTGGCCCTCTGAGGGCCCGGATGCGTCATCGAGCCAGAAAACGCACGCGCGACGCCGAGCAACAACGCACGGGGAACGGAGGTCCGAGCGATGGCAAGGCCCGTGCGCCCGCATCCGCGCGTTCCCCCCCCCTCTCGCGGCGGTAGTGTCGCCTTTTCGTCTGTCGTTTTCTGTGCTCTCTGCCAACGCAGGGTGTATGCCACGGCCCCCCCAGGCCCTGCCCAGAGCCGCTGTACGCGAGGGCCTGGTCTCTCTCTCTCTCTCTGTTTTCAGCCTCATACCTGCTTATGCTTGTCTCTCCATTTCCATATGTCCTTCTATGTGTGTGTGTGAATGTGTGAATGTGTGAATGTGAATGTGTGTGTGTGTGTGTGTGTTTGTGTCTCTGTCTCTCCCTCCCTCCCTCCCTCCCTCCCTCCCTCCCTCCCTCCCCTCCTCTACCCTGCTTCCCCTCCCTCTCCAATCTCCTGCCTATTCCTCTTCGTCCTCCCTTTCCCCGTCCTCCCGCATCATCCTTCTTCCTCTCCGTCCGCCCCTTCCTGGTTCCTCGGCTGGAGTGGGCAGGAGGGCAGGAGGTGGAGGCGGAGGAGGAAGAGGAGGAGGAGGAGGAGGAGGTGGAGGAGGAGGAGGAGGAGGAGGAGGAGGGAGGAGGAGGAGGAGGAGGAGGAGGGAGGAGGAGGACCAGGACCAGCAGCAGGAGGGGGCCTGCGTGGCGTCCTCGTGGTCGCCGCACCGATCTGCAGCTCTGCGATCGCACCGACGGAACGCAGCTCGGCACGCTGCCTCCCCTCCTTACGAGTTCTCTCCACTCCTCCTCCTCCTCCTCCTCCTCCTCCTCCTCCTCCTCCTCCTCCTCCTCTTCCTCCTCTGCCTCGAGCAGCTCGAGCTTTAAGTCGGGCACGTCCCTCCACAGTGGGAAGATTCAAGCATGGTTTTAAACACAGTCAGGGGACGATTGCTCTGCTATGGTTCCTATCTCTGAGTGTATGTTTGGCTATGCTCGTCCTCCCAAACCCGCCGCCTGGAGGAGGACATGCCCGACCTAACTCAAGCTGCCGTCAGCATGCAGACGAGATCGGCACCTGCTGCGCCTCATGTGAACCTCGCCCGCATTCCTTCTCTATCTAATGCTGCGCTGACTCTGGCCAGCGGAAGGGCAGCGTCCGATGACGTCGAAAAGGCGAGCACAAGCATGGTGCCTCGGTCCGATGCGTGCGTGCGAACAGCACAACTCGACCTCGCATCGAGTTGGCAGACTGAGCGTGAAGAGAGGGTGCACTCCCCCCCTCCTCCGCCTTCTCTTGCGCCTCCTCCTCTTTCTCCTCCTCCTCCACGCGGGGCTCAGGAGGTCACGCTCGAGTGGGACGCCGGCCAGAGGGAACGGACGCCGCTCGCGGATGGGCGCGGCTGCCGCCATCCGCCCTGCGGCTATCTTGGACATTGCGGGGTGTTCGGGGGAGGTTGTGGGCGGCTGTTGGGAGGCTCCGCCTCCGGGCGGGGGTTCCTGGCAGGCGTTCAGCCGAAACCGATGGTGAGGATGGGTACACATGGTTCATTTCTAATTCTTCGAAAAGTCTTTGATTTTTTGGGGGTCCACGATCCATTCATCTCTAATTGTTCTATCCTGGGCCTCTTCCTCGCCGCTAGGGGGGCAGAAACAATTAGAAACGAGCACACCTAGAAATGAGCACGATTAGAAATCAACGACGTGTAACATTCCAAAGGGTACCCTCGCCTCCGTGCCTGTATGGCCCATCCTTGAACACTTTCGGTGACCCGCCGCGCTCGAAAGAGCTTCAGCACGTGCGGTCAAGGGGCTCGCACCTTTCTCGCGCATCCTTGCTTGACGGACGAACAACACGCACAAACACCCACCCAGACCCATGGGGGGACGGAAGGGCTGTGGGTGCGCGTTGTCGGATGTTATCCCCGCTCGGACAGGAGCGCCCCCTGGGGTATGGCAGCCCGCACCCATACCCATAGCCAGTCCCCCCCTCCCTCCGACCGACTCCATCTATGGGTATGGTCGGACGGGGCTAGGCCGAGGATCAAATCCGTTCCAGAGCGTTCTGGAACGCTCTCAGAGCGTGTTGGAACGCTCCGAGAAGGCCGCGGCGCCCAAAACATCCTCCGGAACCGCCGGATCTCGGAAATTCTCGATTTATCCTCTCCCGAGTTGATCCTCGTCCTGGTTTCGTCTTATATGGGAGTATGTGTGTGTTGTTCCTTCGTCATTACTGTCAGTCTCGGCCGCACTTCTTGCTGCTGGACGCCCAGCGCGGAGGCCTGGAGGTGTCTGGGGATCTGCGCTGCGGATGACGCGGGGGCCTCCGAGGGGTGAGGAGGGGGCCGTGGAGGCGGGGAGGCAGACGGCTTGTCGACCTCAGCCCCCTCCGTCCCTGAGATCCGCCGTTGCGAGAACCCTGACCTTCCAGAGTGCTAAAACATAGCCCTCCAGACTTATAGACCTCTCTGGAGAACCTAAAGCCTCGACAGGAAGTAAGATGTCGAGGTCCTGGTGCTATTTTTTTGCCCTCCTGGAAGGTCCGGGAAAATACAACGCAGAAAATCACGACCGGAGACCCCACGTTTCTGCATTATTTTTTGAGCCGGATCGGTCTGTGAAGGTCCCGGGGCCCGAATTTCCCCCGTCTCCTCCCTCCTCCCTCCTTCCTCCTTCCTCCGTCCTCCCTCCCCCACCCACTCTCGCCCGCGCCTCCTCTCTCCGCCGTGCTGCAGCTGCAGCTCCCTCCTGCCCGCAGCCATCATCTCGGCCGCCCCCTCGGGAGGCCGAGGTCGGTGGCGGCGGAAGGCGAGGAGGAGGTGGCGGAGGCGGGAGCTCGGTTAAGTCGGGCCTGTCCCTCTACAGGGGGACTATTCAAAAACAGTACAAGAATAGTCTGGGGACGATGTCTTGAGCCTTCTTGAATATTTTTGAGTGTTTGGAGTATTTGCTGTGTTTTTCGTCTACAATCCCCCCTGAGGGGGACATGCCCGACCTAAGAGCAGGGGCCTGTCTTTGCAAGGTCTGGGCGACAACGACCGTGATCCCCCCCCCCCGATCACCTCACGCTGTTTTGCCCGCAGCTGCCGAGGTTCCCGACGGACTCGTCGAGGATTTCCCCGGGTGTGTGGCGGCCCCCCCGCCGTGACGTGGTCGGGGGGGGGCGACCTTCCCCCCCCTAACCCACCCTCCCCCGATCACGCCCGACATCGCGAGCACGAATCAGGCAAGATCCAGGAGAGAGGCTGGCGGGGACGACGAGTGGCAGCAAGGATGAGGAAGAGAGAGTAGCGAGGAGGTTGATGAGCAGTTGGGACAGGTTGAGGAGGAGGAGGAGGAGAAGGAGGACGAGGAGGAGGAGGAGGAGGACGAGGGCAAGAAGGGAGGACGAAGGATGGACCAGGAAAGGGAGAAGGGAGGATTGAGGGGGAGGAAGCGGGGGGAGGCAGTGAGGGTGAGGGGGGATGGGGTCAGGAAGGAGGTGCCCACCAGCACTGCACACAGCCCAGTTCCATAAGAGCCCTCCTTCTCCCACCTCCTCCTCCCTTGCCTCCCCTCAGAAGTGGGAGCCCCAGAGAGGGGCCGCCAGACCACCCCCGCTCCTCCTCGCCGTGTTCGTCATCCCTCTTGTTTTCGTCCTCCTTGAGTAGGAGGAGGAGTAGGAGCAGGAGTGGGATGAGGAGGAGGATGAGAAGGAGGAGGAGGAGGAGGGGGTCAAGTCCCCGCCCTTGTCCGTCTTCGTCGCCGTAGATGTTCCTCTCCCCCCTTGCTCGTAGGTTGTGCTCACTCTTGTTGCAGACGCCGCCTCCCTGCATCCCTGGACTCCTCCTCGTCCTCCTTCGTTTCCTCGTCCTCCTTGACCTCCTCGCCGGCATCCTCGTCCACCCCGCCTGCTTCCTCCTCGTCCTTCTCCCTACCCTCGGCCGCGCCCGCCCGCCCCGCCCCTCGGCGTGCCGGGGCGCTGACCCGCGGCCTCTGAGGATGGAAGGTGGCCCTCTCCACGGCGGTCTCCTTCCCTGCCTCGGCCACATCCTCGCATGCGTCCTCGTCTTCCTCATCCTCGCCCTTGCCTCATCCTGGGAACTGCCGTCAGCCGGTCCCCGTCCCCACTTCACTGTCCTCCTCGTCCCTTCCCGTGCCCCTCGCCCTCGTCTCCTCACGCTCCTCCTCTTCGTTCTCGCCGTCGTCGCTCGTCTCCCCCCCGTGCACTCCTCTTATGCCCCTTGTCGCTCTCCTCATCCTTAGTCCGTTCTTTTTGTCCTCCTCCTTCTCCTTCTCCTCCTCCCCGCTCTTGCTTCGGGCGATGTTGGCTAAAGCCCAAGATGGCTCGGCCCAGGTCCCTTGGAAATGGGGGGGGCAAGCGAGCGTTGCCCTGGCATCTACCAACCCGCCGACGGGCGTGGGCTTGCTTTTTTGTGTCAGCCCTCCCGGCTCTTGACCTCGGTGCGTGCGGACTCTTCCGCTGCCAGTTGGCTGGTGCAGGGCGCGTACGCGCGGTAGTTGTATTCCAGAGGTGCTGTTTGTTGACGCGGGGGGTATGCAAACAATGCGTTCCCACGCTGATCGTGGGCGACACCCCTGCGGTTTGTTTGAGCGCGTGGTGCGCACCATTGGGTCCTCGTCCGGCTCGTGTGCGACACCTGCTGCTCTTCGTTCTCGCTGGCGCCTCCGTGAGCATGCCTTTGAGTGCGTCAGTTAATGGGTGTCCCAGTGGGGTCCGATGGCGGGGTCAGATTATTCATGCTGTCCCAGTGGAGTGGGCTTTCTGTTGCCAGGTCTCCCTTGAGGCCTTGAGGTGGCGGCAATGTCTGCATGCGGTGGCCACCCCCAGTACCGCTCACATTTCAGCGCCGCCGCGCCCGTCCCCTCCCTCTTCTCTTCCTCGCTTTGGGCGTAAGGACTCGCGGCCAGCGGGAGAAGGAGACGGAGGAACAGATCGAGGAACAGGAGGAGGAGGAGGAGGAGGAGAAGGAGGAGGAGGAGGTGTTACAGATGGAACATGAGGAAAATGCGAATGAGGAAGAAGGAGAGGAGGAGAGAGGGAGGAGAAGTGGGCAGAGAGAGGGGGATTCGGGAGGAGCAGGAGGGAAGAGCAGGAGGGAGAAGGGGAGGAGGAGCTCCCCGCGAAGGGGGGGCCGGGGGAGCTCGGAAACTTCGAGCTCATCGGCCAAGACGTTGCTGCAGACCTCGTCGCGAACCTGAAAGAGATGCGGCAGGATCGCGTGACTGAGGAGGGGGAGAGGGGGAAGAGGTGAAGAGGCGATGGGGGAGGGGGGAGGGGGAAATGGGGGAGGTCCTGGACTGCCTGCGTGCCTCTGGCGGGGGTGGGGCGTGGGAGGAGGTGGAGGGGTGGGAGGAGGAGGGAGGTGGAGGTGTGAGGTGGACGGGGGAGGAGGGGGGAGGGGCATCGGGGGTCCCACTTTTGGGGCGTTCGGGGCCCGCGTCGGGCCTCTGGAGAGGCCTTCCCGCCTCTGCCCCGGTGGCGTTTGGGCGGCAGAGATCCCGGCGAGGTGGCGCGCCGCAATTGGGGGGCTGGGCCTCTGATGGACGGCCCGGCGCCGGCCCAGGGCCAGTCAGCTGGAGGCTGGGGGGGGGGGGTCGTCGACGAGGGAGCCACGGCATGCGCGTGAAGATCGGCGGAGGTCTGCGCGGCTTTCTGGGATCGGCGCGGGGCCCCGCTGGCGGCGGCGTCGCCCCTGGCGTGCTCCGTGCGCCAAACCGGGGGGGGGGCTCCACTGCGGATCCAAGAGATCCGCGAGGACCTCCCAAAGTGTATGTTATGCAGATTTCTCCTAACAAAGCTTGCACTTAGGGGCTCTTGTTCTTCTCTCCCAGGAATTGGCTGGGTCCAGAGAAGAATTTCCACGCAGCCTCCACCCGTTGCCGACTCGTTGCCGCCTCGTGCGCTGGGTGGGTCCAGCGAGGTTTCGCCACGTTGCCGCCTAGATTCCACCTCGTTGCCGCCTCGTGCGCTTTGGTGGGTCCGACGAGGTTTCTCGCCTCGTTGCCCCCTCGTTGCCGTCTGCTCCGGCGAGATTTCGCCACGTTGCCGCTCGTTGCCGCCTCGCTGCCGCCTCGGTGCCACCTCGTGCGGTTGGTGGGTCCAGAGTGGTTCCGCCACGTTGCCGCCCGTTGCCGCCTCGTTGCCGCCCCGCCGCGCTAGGAGGGTCTGGCGAGGTTTTGCCCCGTTGCCGCACGTTGCCGCCTCGTTGCCGCCCGTTGCCGCCTCGTTGCCGCCTCGTGCGCTGGGCGGGTCCGGCGAGGTTTCGTCACGTTGCCGCCCGCTGCCGCCTCGTTGCCGCCTCGTGCGCTGGGTGGACCTGCCGAGGATTCGCCACGTTGCCGCACGCGTTGTCGCCTCGTTGCTGCCGCGTGCGCTGGGTGGGGTCCGGCGCGGTTTCGCCACGTTGCCGCCCGTTGCCTTCTCGATGCCGCCCCGTGCACCAGGTGGGTTCGACGAGGTTTCTCGCCACGTTGCCGCCTCGTTGCCGTCCACCCCGCTGCCTGGGTGGGTCCGGCGAGATTTCGCCACGTTGCCGCACGCGTTGTCGCCTCGTTGCTGCCGCGTGCGCTGGGTGGGGTCCGGCGCGGTTTCGCCACGTTGCCGCCCGTTGCCTTCTCGATGCCGCCCCGTGCACCAGGTGGGTTCGACGAGGTTTCTCGCCACGTTGCCGCCTCGTTGCCGTCCACCCCGCTGCTTGGGTGGGTCCGGCGAGATTTCGCCACGTTGCCGCACGCGTTGTCGCCTCGTTGCCGCCTTGTGCGCATGGTGGGGTCCGGCGAGGTTTCGCCACGTTGCCGCCCGTTGGGTTCTTTCTCGATGCCGCCGCCGTGCACGCACCCGATGCCGCCCCGTGCACCAGGTGGGTTCGACGAGGTTTCTCGCCACGTTGCCGCCTCGTTGCCGTCCACCCCGCTGCCTGGGTGGGTCCGGCGAGATTTCGCCACGTTGCCGCACGCGTTGTCGCCTCGTTGCTGCCGCGTGCGCTGGGTGGGGTCCGGCGCGGTTTCGCCACGTTGCCGCCCGTTGCCTTCTCGATGCCGCCCCGTGCACCAGGTGGGTTCGACGAGGTTTCTCGCCACGTTGCCGCCTCGTTGCCGTCCACCCCGCTGCCTGGGTGGGTCCGGCGAGATTTCGCCACGTTGCCGCACGCGTTGTCGCCTCGTTGCCGCCGCGTGCGCTGGGTGGGGTCCGGCGCGGTTTCGCCACGTTGCCGCCCGTTGCCTTCTCGATGCCGCCCCGTGCACCAGGTGGGTTCGACGAGGTTTCTCGCCACGTTGCCGCCTCGTTGCCGTCCACCCCGCTGCCTGGGTGGGTCCGGCGAGATTTCGCCACGTTGCCGCACGCGTTGTCGCCTCGTTGCTGCCGCGTGCGCTGGGTGGGGTCCGGCGCGGTTTCGCCACGTTGCCGCCCGTTGCCTTCTCGATGCCGCCCCGTGCACCAGGTGGGTTCGACGAGGTTTCTCGCCACGTTGCCGCCTCGTTGCCGTCCACCCCGCTGCCTGGGTGGGTCCGGCGAGATTTCGCCACGTTGCCGCACGCGTTGTCGCCTCGTTGCTGCCGCCTGCGCTGGGTGGGGTCCGGCGCGGTTTCGCCACGTTGCCGCCCGTTGCCTTCTCGATGCCGCCCCGTGCACCAGGTGGGTTCGACGAGGTTTCTCGCCACGTTGCCGCCTCGTTGCCGTCCACCCCGCTGCCTGGGTGGGTCCGGCGAGATTTCGCCACGTTGCCGCACGCGTTGTCGCCTCGTTGCTGCCGCGTGCGCTGGGTGGGGTCCGGCGCGGTTTCGCCACGTTGCCGCCCGTTGCCTTCTCGATGCCGCCCCGTGCACCAGGTGGGTTCGACGAGGTTTCTCGCCACGTTGCCGCCTCGTTGCCGTCCACCCCGCTGCCTGGGTGGGTCCGGCGAGATTTCGCCACGTTGCCGCACGCGTTGTCGCCTCGTTGCTGCCGCGTGCGCTGGGTGGGGTCCGGCGCGGTTTCGCCACGTTGCCGCCCGTTGCCTTCTCGATGCCGCCCCGTGCACCAGGTGGGTTCGACGAGGTTTCTCGCCACGTTGCCGCCTCGTTGCCGTCCACCCCGCTGCCTGGGTGGGTCCGGCGAGATTTCGCCACGTTGCCGCACGCGTTGTCGCCTCGTTGCTGCCGCGTGCGCTGGGTGGGGTCCGGCGAGGTTTCGCCACGTTGCCGCCCGTTGCCTTCTCGATGCCGCCCCGTGCACTAGGTGGGTTCGACGAGGTTTCTCGCCACGTTGCCGCCTCGTTGCCGTCCACCCCGCTGCCTGGGTGGGTCTGGCCGCCGCGTTGCGGCGGCCTTGCCGCCAGTTGCCGCCTCGTTGCCTCCATCGTTGCCGCCTCGTTGCTGCCTCGTGCGCGGGTCTGGCGAGGTTTCGTCACGTCGCAGCCCGCTGCCGCCTCTTCGGCTCGTCGTGCGCTGGGTGGTTCCGCCATGTTGCCGCCCGTTCCCGCCTCGTTGCTGCCTCGTGCGCTGAATGGGTCTGGCGACGTTTCGCCACGTCGCGGCCTTGTTCGCAAGCTGGGTCCAGCGAGGTTTCGCCTCGTTGCCGCTTTGTCTCTGGCTTGCTGCCATCCACCGCGCTTTCGGTCCGACGA